GAACACATAAAAGCTCTGAAGGTTGAAAAGGCTTTGTCTGGTATTTGTTTTCCATTTAACAGGATTATTTGATTACCAGTGTTTCCTAACTAAAAAGTGCACAGATGGTCTGACTGATTTACAAGCTCTAGAAATGATGTCTCACAGCCTGGGGGAGGGGGGGAATAGGGCAGGGATTTTTTTCATAGCTGCATGAAACACACTTGGGTTCAACTCAGATGACTTACTCACATTTAAAACTCAAACCATATGTGGCACCCAGTGCCATGCTCCAAAGCACAGAGCTCACATTAAACCATTAGTGACCCATCCACTGCTGTAGCCCCAGCGGAGCCTGCTCTGCTGACAGCCCAGATCACAGACCAACCAGCCCCTGCTTTCCTTAAGTTGTCTCTCTCAACACTTGGTGTTAAGTAAAATCCCCAGAAATTTAAGAGTCTTTCTTTGCTATTGACTTCTAGGTTTGTCTGACACAACCAAGTTAAATACACACTTCCAAGAATTTAAACCGCAGAGATGAAAGAAATTAAGAGTTTCAGGGTTTTTTTTTAAACCAGCTGATTTAGATTGACACTGTTTGCATAGATAGAGAAGTCTCTGAAAGTCTGAGCTGGCTCCTGGCAGGTCCATCCGGGAGATAAGAGCTGTCTTGTATCTTGCAGTTTCTAAATAAGGGACTCTCTATCAGAGAACAAGGGAGAAGAGACTTGCTTGGCATCTCAAATGCTGGATGCCCCTTGCTGTCCATGAGACCATCCTCAGGGAGCAGAGCTTCCCCCAGAATCAGTGGAGGTGCCAGGGTGACAAGGTAAAAGTTGTGGCACTACTATTGCCAGGACCAACCTGCCTTTTATCAACTTCAGCACCTTCCTTGCCAGGATTAACTTTTTAACTGAAGCAGCACCAGGAGGGAAGAGAAGGTGGAATCAGTTCTCCTGAGGGAAAATCAGAGCAATTGCCCCACACTGTGGCTCTGGTAATGATGTCAGCTTTGTGAATGCTGTGGGGTGGCAGTTGCAGGTTAGAGTGTCTGTTTGCTAAATGTCAGACAGAAATCTACTTGGAAATCTGCAAACTGCAAGTATCACCTATGTAGAAATGACAGAACTGTGTATATATGTCTTCCAGGTACTTACTGCATTAAAGGAGTTTAAAAAGAAACCTATCTCATTTATGGGCAGGCCTTCAGTATATATCACCTATTTGGAATCAGAAAAAACCCTCTTAAATTACTGAGAAAGCACCTCATGAAGACTCTCAACCCTATCTTCTCAGAGACAACAGGTTTTCTCTGACTTTGTAGTAGGAATTTTGTCATCATCTGTCCCAAAAGATTAATTTTTATATTCTCATTGGATTTCCAGAACAGAGAGTTCAATTAATGAGGCTTTACCAGTCACAGCAGAAATCAGAAAAAAAGTAAAGAAGGTTTTTAAAATACCTGAAAGACCAATGTTGTGTGATTGTGTATGAGAGCAGCCAGAAATAAAGATAAATCTAGAACAGGATGCAGAATGGTGGAAGACATTAAGTCTATCAATTCTGGTATTCATGTCCTCAGCACTGAAGCACCAACACTAAATTGCTTTATGACTGTTTATTACCAAAACTTGGGGGATCTCTGATCCTTTCCTAATACTGAGCAGCTCCCTCAAGGTCCTCTTCAGTGATCTTCTGTCTATTCACAGTATTTTAAAGAGAATCTGAAAAACCTGGAAAGGTTAATCCTCCAAATTCTTCCAAACAGGCCACCTAGAACCAGTGACCTCTGCAAACACCGCACCAAAACACCTCCAACAAATCCACTGTTCCCAAGGCAGCCCCACAACGAGTGGTGCAGGGCAGGGAACAGGCCCCAAGCCCTTTTCCCTGCGCGCTGTGTGACAGCAGCGCTCAGACTCACCCTCTGGCCCCTCTCGGGCCGTGTCCCCCGCACCGGACACCCCCCCGCCAGGATCCCCGGGCTCC